GAATCATAATGTACAGTACCATTAGTATGTACTAAGACACAGTTGATATTACTAATATGTCATGCAGTATATTGTATTATGTAGACCTTATACTATAGTTAGGAATGATCAATTAGGAGCGGTTTGAGTGGTCACTGTGGTGGCTGCAATTTGTGAACATTGAGTCTACAGTCTACACATCAAAGGCCTCAGGGTTTCTGTATAATTGCATACTTAGTGGCTTCTATGATGATATAAAAGTGGTAGACAGACAGTAGGAGTAAGTATAATCATTGCAATAGAGAAACAAGTCAGACAACTAGATCAGTTCATGATGGGATCAGGACTGCTTACAGGATTTATACTGGTAAGATACAATATATATGATAGTGTATGGTACTATCTTTACAGGTTATACTGAGTGCATGTTACACAAATGGACTAACATTGAATGACCTGTACCCATATGGTACAGAACATGGGGACACCATGAGGACTGGAGATAGTCCCCCCATAGCACCATTACAGCCTTCAATTGATAATTTAGTTGGACTTGGTCCAGCTGGACTTACAGCAACAAGATACAGAGTTAGTAGCTACACACATACACACACACAGTGCAATTGTACACTAACCATTATCTGTTCATTTTATTAGTAACACAAGTTATTGATCATTTCTCAGTTTATAGCATTTACTTATACTATTTATAGGTTATACTCAATGGATACCTGGCAATTGCAAGCGATGATATAAATAAACGTATCGATTTGAATTTGCTCACCCTGCCTTCAGCCAGTGATTTTTCCAATACTAAAGTATATGGTAGGACTACTGCTGATCCAGGGCTGATAAACAGAGCAATGGATCAGATTAATGAAGCATTTCCTTATGCTTTCTGCCGTACATCTCCTCCTACACAATTAATAATAGCAACTTGGATAGATTATCTAAAAGCTAGCACAAACCTAGTTAGTTAATAATACATGAAATACTGTTAATAATAGCTAGCTAGCTACACTCTAATCACTTTATTCATTATTATTGTTAGGGCAGTAACTTCCAGGCAATTGTTGTAACTAATGGAAGCATTACATTTGGTATTGCTCTATATGTCAATGTACGCATTGCCACAGCTATTATCACTGGAATAAGTTCAATAGTTAATGTTTATGTACCACCTGATCCATCTTTCTTTCCATTTGGCACTGACGTCATGGATGCTCCTACTATGATGTCCAATAGCACCACACCAGGGACATATATATTTTCAATGAATGATATATTACCAGGTATGATCACTGTAGTACATGTATCAACTGTTCCATTATAACTTGCTTATCTTTTATAGATACTTGTAATCTTGCCTGCTTCTGTAAGGCCAGGCTTTTTCAGTTCGTATGTGAGGCTAGGAGGATTAATGGAGAACATGTACCAGCTTCTTGTAATAACTAATGACATTTAATTGTATTGTATTTTTTGTTGTTTTAGTTAAAAATAAAGTCAATTTTATACTTTAATAGTAGATAATAGAGTAGAGATTATAGTTGTTATTTTACCAACATTAATTTTATTATAATTTTTGTCATAGATTATTTTTAATAACTATTTTGTAACAAAATAAATGTCATATACAAGGAAAGGAAGAGAAAAGGAGGGAGCGTCATAAAGAGATTGTAACAGCTTTTGATTATAAAATCAACTAAGAGACAGTACAGCAGGTACTATCATAAAAAGAAAGATCCTATTTAAACAGATAAGCTGTATTACTATATACTGCTGGTGGTAGGTGTACACGAATATACTTTAGGTGTACATGATGAAGTAGTGTTGAAGAATGCAAGCATTGACATTACCAGTAATTAGTGACAATTAAGAAATCTTACCATTATCTATCATCATGTTACAAGTAATATGTACTAACATGCATAAGAATTTAATTTTGCTGTTGCCAAATTCTGTAATTATAATACAGAAACCAGTGAAGGGCCTTTGATGTGTAGACTTGCCATAGCTCCAGTTACAATACTTTGTCACTGACTGTACTTTAATTAAAATGACAACTGTTTTCTTGTACTCAGTGTCTGAGAGACGTTTGGTTATTATTTCTGCTTCTTGTGTTAGCAATGTATTTTTCTCATTCCACATACAGAATCTTGTGAATAATTTCCATCATGCATCCTGATACAATCAAAAAAATTTTGGTTGACAAAAATTTGGAGCTCAATTCTATCATCAGCAAGTGCTATGTAATAGTCACACAGTATTTTTTTGAGATCCTTTCTACACAACAACTACTGTGGAGGAGTCAGGAGATGGTGAATAGCCATGCGGTACTATCATGGTACAATACACTATTAGTACTGTACTACTATGATGCAGAAAAACATAGATGCTACCAAACAGGTAACCAGGGGTGACAAATGATACTCTAATGTCTATAATGGTGCAGGTGTATACCCTCAAGGCAATTTATACATATTTAACCACGGTGATTGTGTGATAAAGCATGGATTGGTGAAAATGCAAGCATTAACAATACCAGTCATTAGTTTAAGAAATCATACCATTATCTATCATTATGTTACAAGCAATATATGGTAATACAGTATGTACTGACACACATGTACCTGAACACAGTTGATATACTAATGTCAGTATTTTGTATTATATAGAGATACATCAGTAAACCTTACTTAGGAATGATAAGGAGTGGTAAGGAGTGGTGGCTGCAATTAGTGAACATACATACAGTATTGTAACTGGAGCTATGTCGAGTCTCTTCATCAAAGGCCCTTTAGTGGTTTCTGTATATACTATACTATAGTATTTTATATTTTCCAATACTATAGTATATGGTAGGACTACTGCTGATCCAGGGCTGATAAACAGAGCAACAGATCAGATTAATGAAGCATTTCCTTATACTTTCTGCAGTACATCTCCTCCTACACAATTAATAATAGCAACTTGGATAGATCAACTAAAAGCCGGCACAAACCCAGTTAGTTTATTAATTACTTAATACATTAAAATACTGTTAATAATAGCTAGTTACACTCCAATCACTTGTTTATTTATTATTTTTCGGGCAATAATTTTCAGTTAATTCTTGTAACTAATGGAAGCATTACATTTGGTATTGCTCTATATGTCGATGTGAGCATTACAACAGCTACTACTGGAATAGAGTCAGCCATTGGTGGTGTTTCTATAGCGGCTGATCCATCTTTATTTCCATTTGGTACTGCTGTTATGGATGCTCCTAGCATGATGCTTAATAGTACCATACCAGGAACATACATATTTTCACTGAATCATATACCACCAGGTATGACTATAGTACATGTATCAACTGTTCCATATAACTTGTATATCTTTTAGATACGTGCAGTTCTGTCTGCTTTTCTTGTAAGGCCAGACTTTTCCAGTCAATATGTGAGATCAGGAGGATTAATGGAGAAGATGTACCAGCTTCTTGTAATAACTAATGACATTCAATTTAATTGTGTTCTTTGTGATTAATATATATAATTACTGTAAGAGTTAAAATAAAGTCAATTTTATAGTAGATACTAGATATAGTTTTTTCAAACATTATTTTATTATCATTTTTGTCCATCATAAATATCATTTTTAATAACTATTTTGTAACAAAATAAATGTCATATACAAGGAAAGGAAGAGAAACGAAGAGAGCGTCATAAAGAGATTGTAATAGCTTTTGATTATAAAATCAACTAAGAGACAGTACAGCAGGTACTATATAAAAAGAAAGATCCTATTTCAACAGATAAGCTGTATTACTATATACTGCTGGTGGTAGGTGTATTATACTTTAAACTACACTACACATGAATAGTTCTGTATGTGCGAATGAATGAGGTTTCCAAATGCTATGGAGACCACTGCATGGAAGCCATGCAAAAATACTTCTGATTAACTAATCGTCATAACTGTGTCTCCATTATGGTCAAAACTGATCAACATCTCCATAAGAATTTGTAAACTTTAGGCTTCATAAATACTTCATAAGAGGTGCTTATTCATTATTTAGACACACATGATGAAGTAGTGTTGAAGAATGAAAACATTGACAATACCAGTAATTAGTGTGAATTTATTAAGAAACCACAAACATCATGTTACAATAATAATACAGTATACACAAGTAACATTTTGCTGCTGTCAAATTCTGTAATTATAGCTACAGAAACCAGTGAAGGGCCTTGAAATGTAGACTCGCCATAGTTCCAGTTACAATACTTCATGACTGATTGCACTTTTAATAAAATATTGGCAGCTGCTTTCTTGTACTTAAGAGAGACTGTTGTATTATTGTAACAGAGTATTGCTTGGCTATTATTGTTAGATCTACTTCTTGTGTTAGAAATGCACTCTTGTCATTCCACTATGATACAAAATCTTGCAGATAATTTCTATCAAATAAAACGGGCATCCCTAATGCATTTAAATAAAAACTTGGCCGACAAAAATTTGGAGCTTAATTATTATACATGATAGTAGACATTAAAGTCAAAAATTTTTTTATACTGCGGAATAATAAAAAATAATTGTAAAAAATAATTAAGTCACAAAATGCCAGCTGACAAACAAAAATTACAATGACAATACTAATAATAATACTACATGTAATAATATACTAAGAATATACTAAGAATATGTTACTTAGTAAATCCTGAAGACTTGCTTGTACTTCCTCATCAGTTGCATCTTTCCTTAGTCCTTAAATAAACATTTTTACTATAAATAGAATATGATATACTAAATATAGCATCTACAGCTAATAATAAGTATTAATAACTATTTAATAGCTTAATTACCAGGTTTATTCTCAGTATTGTTTCTCATCATACAATTCCAAGGGGTTCATTGATCTCTTGCAATGACTCAGCATATTTCAAATCTTCATTATTTAGCTGCATACAGATGCACATCATAATAGTGATAATACATTATATTAATGTATTATTATATCTACATGCATATACATGCACTTGCATATAACAGGTAATGGTCTCCTCATTAACACTCTGTACAAAGAGAAATAATAATTAAAAAATACATGTACATCCATAACTTAATTATACCCATAACTGATGGTTGCAAAACCTTGACATAGGTAGCCCCAAACTTTCTACATGGCAAGGAAGGTATATCATCAGTAAGATTTATGCATTACTCACACAATATTCCTTTGAGATCCTTTGTGCACAACAACCACTATGGAGGAGTCAGGATATGGTAAATGCAGTCATTGAGTTACCAGGTACTATGATACAAACTGTACAATACTTTGTAGTATGTACTATGGTATTTATACATTATGATGCAGACAGATACAGACGCTAGCCAGAGGTGACAAACGGTAGTTTCCAATCCCTTTCATTTACTCTAATGTCTATGATGGTGCAGGTGTATATCCTCAAGGCAATTTATTTAGGTTATTACATATTTGAGTCAATTGTGGTCCTTGTGTATTAAAGCACTGATTGGTGAAGAATGCAAACATCGACAATACCACTAGAAGTCTAGAATCATACCATTATCTATCATCATGTTACAAGCATGTGGTAATACAGTATGCACTAACACACATATGTACCTGAACACAGTTGATATTCTTATGTCAGTATAATTTGTATACATACAGTATTGTAACTGGAGCTATGGCGAGTCTACACATCAAAGGCCCTTCACTGGTTTCTATAATATTACACACTTTGTGGCTTCTATGATGATATAAAAGTGGCAGACAGTAAGAGCTGAATTTATTGCAACAGAGAAACAACTATCAGTTCATAATGGGATCAGGACTGTTACCAGGAATAATACTAGTAAGATACAATATATATATGATAGTGTATGGTACTATCTTTACAGGTTATACTGAGTACATGTTATACAAATGGCCTAACATTGAATGACCTGTACCCATATGGTACACAACATGGGGACACAATGAGGACTGGATCTAGTGTTTCAGGAGTATTTCTGGCTCCAATTGATAATTTAGTTGCATTTGGTCCAGCTGGAGCTACAGCAACAGATTACAGAGTTAGTAGCTACGCACACACACACACACACACACACACACACACACACATGCACACACACACACACACACACACTATTAGTACTTTAGTTTGTAATGTAGTGCAGTTGTACACTAACCATTATCTGTTCATTTTATTAGTAAAACAATTTTATAACATTTACTTATACTATCTGTAGGTCATACACAATGGGTTCTTGAGACTTGCAAATAATGGCAATAATAAATTTATCTTTTTGAATTTGCTCCTTGTGACTTCAGGTGATTTTTCCAATACTATAGTATATGGTAGGACTACTGCTGATCCAGGGTTAATTAAAAGAGCAATGGATCAGATTAATGAAGCATTTCCTTATACTTTCTGCAGTACATCTCCTCCTACACAATTAATAATAGGAACATGGATAGATCATCGAAAAGCTGGCACAAATTTAGTTAGTATATAAATTACTTAATACATGAAATACTGTTAATAATAGCTAGCTACACTCTAATCACTTTATGTATTATTTTTAGGGCAGTAACTTCCAGGCAATTCTTGTAACTAATGGAAGCATTACATTTGGTATTGCTCTATATGTCAATGTACGCATTGCCACAGCTGATACTGGAATAAGTTCAAGCATTAATGGTGTTTATGCAGAACTTGATCCTTTATTTCCATTTGGTGCTAATGTTATGGATGCTCCTAGCATGATGCTTAATAGCAGCATACCAGGGACATATATATTTTCACTGAATCATATACCACCACCAGGTATGACTACATGTATCAGCTGTTCCATGCAACTTGTAAATATTATAATTATTCTTTTAGATAGTTGTAATTCTGTCTGCTATTCTTGCAAGGCCAGACTTGTTCAGTTGGCATGCGAAACTAGGAGGGTTAATGGTGAAAATGTACCAGCTTCTTGTAACTATTAACATTCTATTTCATGGGGTTTTGTTTTTGAGATTGATATTGTTTATAATTAGTGAGAATTAGCAAAGTAAAGTCAATATAAAGACAGTTGTTATTTTATCAACGTTAATTAAATTTTCATTTTTGTCTTAGATCATTTTTTAATAGCTATTTTTGTAACAAATAAATGCCAGACTCAGACAAGGAAAGAAAAAGAAAAGGAGAGAGTGTCAAAAAAAGATTGTAACAGCTTTTGATTATAAAATCAATTAAGAGACAGCTATATAAAAAGAAAGATCCTATTTAAATTAACAGATAAACTGTAAACTGCTGGTGGTAGGTGTACATGAATAATTATATTTTAGGTGTACATAATGAAGTATAATGTTGAAGAATGCAGCCATCATACCATTATCTATCATCATGTTACAAGTAATATGTACTAACACACATAAAAATTTAATTTTGCTGTTGCCAAATTCTGTAATTATATACAGAAACCAGTGAAGAGCCTTTGATGTTTAGACTCACCATAGTTCCAGTTACAATACTTCATCACTGATTGAACTTTTAATTAAAATGGCAGCTACTTTCTTGTGCTTAATGAGAGACTGTAATTGTAGATATGTAAAAAATTTTTTGGTTATTATTATTACTTCTTGTGTTAGCAATGCATTCTTCTCATTTCGCATGCAGAATCTTGTGGATGATTTCCATCACAGAAAATGTGCATCCTGAATCCCGATACAATCAAAGAAAATTTTGGCCAACAAAAATTTGGAGCTTAATAATTTTTGTACATGGTAGTAGACATTATTTTTATACTGCAGAATAATCAAAAATTGTTGTGAAAAAATAAGTCACAAAATGCCAGAGGACAAACAAAATTACAAAATAGTAGTATACTAATAATATAATAGGTTATTTAACTTTAATAGTTAGATGACCTTGTCAAAAATCATGCATGATCCAGGCATGATTTTTTGTGAGGGCATAGAAACGATCCATTTCCAGTATCTATGCCGGCACACAAACTCTTTCTCGCGGCGAGCTCAGGCTCACCCCAATTAGCTTACTCCATCAAATGAAACTTGCTTATTAGGCAATCCATGTGACTCTGAAGCTTCTATTTATAATTGTAATATTTTTAATTAAAAATAGGACATTAACTTATTTCAATGCATGGTTTCTTTCTATGATTAAAAATTAATCTCAGTGATAAACAGCAAGCAGTTATAATGACAAGCAGTACCACAAAACCGCCAGCAGCAGAGACACTTACAGTGATAATAACTACATGAATCAATTATACTCTGAAAAATACCCGAAGCTATAGCACATGCTTTTTCAAAAAATCATCCCAAATTTTTATTACATTTTCTAATACATATTGATGTCTTTATGCTGTGTAGAAAGTTTGAGCTGATTCTGACTTCAAGTTTTCAAGTTGCAGCCATTTTTAAAAAGCAAAAATTCAAAAAATACCCAAGGCTATAGCCCATGCTTTTTTCAAAAATGGCCAAAAAATCACCCCAAATTTTTAATACATTTTCTGATACATATTGATGTCCTTATGCTGTGTAGAAAGTTTGAGCTGATTGCAACTTCAATTTTTCAAGTTACGATCATATGATATTGTAGTACATGATATTAGTATTAGTTAATTGTCATTTATTGCTATACATGTGTGTATATTAATAAGTATTATATACCTACTGTTCTTTCAATTGTTTTAATTTCTTTATTAAACATTTTTGATGCACTCCTCATATTCTGATGTACTTCCTTTACATGTAAATGTTCTTCACGGGACAAATTTTCTCCTTGTTTTTTAATGTCATTCTCTCTCTCCTGAGTCTCCTCTCTCTTGTCCAGCTCCAGCTGGATAGAATGAACAATAAAGGTTTCTCGCTTTGTCAAAACAATTTTGGGTCTAAAAACTCTAAAAATTAAAAAAATGAATAAAAAATAATTATTATTGTTTATTTAAAAATTTTTTAAATATTATAATGAAAATAAATGAACTCATCCACCTCTGTAGGGTTTACCACATCAATTATAGTCTCCCATAGCCAGACCCACCAACTACAATAAGTTAGATAATATTTTCACTGTAAATATACTTATACCCATCACCTGAAATACAGTATATCTGTTTCTTTCGGCTTACACTTCAGGCATTAGTGAAACTCCCAAGTGCTACCCAAAGTACTCCTAGTGTTTCTAGCTGTTACTGTAGCATTAGGACATCAATTAAAAAAACAAGACCAATCTGACAGTTTAATGAAAACAATTAATATTATTATTTAAATACTATAGTCTAAACATTAACAATGATAGACATACAACCAGTCTAAATGAGGCCACTCTAAATAACAGGTAAGCATACAGCTTTTGTTTAGCACACATTACAAGTAAGAAGACACTATTCCAATCACAGGCATATCTGCAACAGTAGAACCAGCTTCTTCTCTCCCTCCTTCTCTTCTTCCCTCTACACTTGCAGGAACATAACTAAATAAATTATATTAAAATATTATTATTTACCATCGTTAACATGATGAGGTAAATTCCTTGCAGCATCAGCTCCATCATTGGTTTCTTGTCCAGTAGTGGTAACTCCTTTACTTTTCTTATCAGGTATTGGTGGTGGATTAGTATCTCCTCCAGTAGCTCCAATTACAGTAGCACCACTAACAGATACTACCCCATCATCATAAGACAGGACTGGAGGAGCTTTTGATTTAGGCCTCACTGATTCAATGTCAACATATTGAACTGTTGATACTTCAGTTTTTGCTAATAATTTAGTACCAGTTGAAGGTACTACACCTAAATCTGAATATATAGGCTCTTTAGTAGATCTAACTCCTCCTCCTGTAGGAACTTCCTTTGTAGGATTGGCAGGAGGTTCATTGGTGTTTGTTGATTGCAAAGGACTGAGTTTCTAAAAAATAAAATAAAATTATTCATTTAGAGGGAAGCTATCTAAAGGCTGCTCTAGTAGCTCTGGAAAGTCTGGAAACTGACTACAGTCATGTGAATGCGGATTCACACAAGTCAATCTGCCACCAACTTTTTTGTTTGAGAATTGAAAGAAAACTTGATAGCAGTTTGATCTAAGAGTTCCTTCTATAGATTATAGTCCTCATTATTAAGATTGTGGAAGAGATTGATTAGAAGTTTGGCTTTGTTTCTTTTAGTAGTTACATATCTCCTCAATTTGGCAGCACTCATTCTTGTCAATTTATTGGGTTACATGTATTTGGGTTATGCTGGTGTGTTTGCTATGTTCAGAATATAGACCCAGCAATGAGGACAAGGTCTGAATGATGCATGCAGGTAATGGTCTCAAAAAAAGAGAGTTATACTAAGAGCTGAACTGATTAATTTATTTCATTTAATCTTATTCAAACCATGTTCAAACAAAGTCAATTGATGGCTCTAGCTTGCCCCTCAATGTTTACATTCACCTAGTCTTATAAGCATACTGTCTCCTCAGTAAGTACTTGATGCACGGGCAGAAGGCTATTATTATTATTATTAAAAATACAAATAATTAACATATTAATTAGCTTACTCCATCAAATAAAACTTGCTTATTAGGCAATCCATGTGACTCTGAAGCTTCTATTTATAATTATAAAATTATTATTATTTCTAATTAAGAATAAGACACTAACTTCTTTTATTGCATGATTTCTTTTTATGATGTAATCTCAGTGATAAAAAGCAAACAATTATAATGACAAGCAGTACCACAAAACCACCAGCAGCAGAGACACTTACAGTGATGATAACTACATGTACATATGAATCAATTACTCCAAGTATTAAATATAAGCTGAATTACCTGATGATGTTCTTGTTGAAACAGTTGGAGATAAAGTTGATGATGCTGTAGGAAGAATACTTGCAACTATTAAAACAATTATTTTATTAAAAATAATAATAATAGTTTTAATACACACAAGTACATGAATGAATAATACTTACTAAATGCTAGTATAAATGGTTCACTACTACCAACACCATTGCTAACCACAACAGTGATAGTACACTGTTGGTTTAGTGGTACTGGTACTGCTCCTGTTATGTTCATTGGTTGTCTAGCTTCCTCCACTAGTCTAGTATCATTGTATACAGCTCCAGTTCCATTACACTGTATAATAACTGTAGCATTTCCAGGAGCTTCACCAGTACACTCAACTGTAACCTATAAAAATAATTACTTATACTATAAATATTAATAGCATGATATTACTGGTATATTGAAGGAAAAATTAGCACTAGTTTGATTAAATGCTGCTATATTTGAACCTGCTTCTGTAACTGGTCGTGGTACTAAATAAACATAAAATCATTTATTCAGTAATTTATTGTTAATTGTACCTCTTTGATATGAGAATGTATTATTATTAGATATTCCTTCTCCTAATACATTAACTCCAGTTATAACATATGTATAACGATGAATAAATAAATTGGTATCCACAAACTGATAACTGGTATCATATACTGATACAGTAGTCACTAGTCTACCAGTAATAGCATCATATATCCTTAGTATGTAATACAGTATACGAGATACTCTATCATCAACTGTAGGAGCAGTCCATGTTATATCAATAGTAGAACAGTCATCAATCAAAGAGTTAATGTTAGTAACTGGTCCAACTTTACCTAACAATAAGAGAAATGGCTGATTAAAAAATATACATAGCTGTAATTCCTTACCAAATCCAAGAGAAGGTATAGGTAAAAATTCTCCTCCATTATTACTTAGTGATACATTAACAATAAATGTATTTAAATTATTAGGCACAGTTATTACTCCAGTAATCATCAGTTGAGAATTAACTTGTGTTAGTATACTGGTATTATCTTGCATTTCATTATTAATACTCAGTATAATAACAGTGATATTGTTAGGATACTGACCAATGCATAACTCACTGACCTATAAATAGAACAGATAAAAATAGTATCATGTCTATAAATAGAATAAACATTATCTTAACACATAAACATGCAATAGATAATCTATCTACTAGGAAAATCATTCACATAACAATAGCTTATACATGTAGATAAGGTGACTATAGTGATATACTTACATTAATACTGATATTCAATGATATTAGTTGTCCATAAATTACTGGTACCACTGATACAGGAGGAGCAATAAGAGGAGCTGAAAAAGAAAATAATTATCAATAAAAACATAGAAACATACACAGTGGATATGTGTGTGTCATGTGTTATGGTATAGGCATACAGGTGGATAATGAACCACAGTAATACACTAAGCTAGAAAAAGTAATGCCTGAGGCTGTTGATGCACATTTATCATGTTCACACTAGAGTGGTTTCAAATTAATGTGCATCACTCTCAAAACTGCATTGCCAATGTGAAAAGGCCTATAGTGTATAATAGTTAAAGGAAATGTATGCAGGCATAACAAGAAAAGATAATTATCAAACCAGGCATGTGTATTTATCTATCTAGGAATAAAAGGTAGTTTTACCATTGCAGAGTAAAGGGAGTATTCATTACCTGTTTCATAATAAAAACTGATATTGTTGGATGAACCTATTCCAGCACCATTAATAGGAGAAACTGAAAAATTATTCAATATACAAGGATCAGGATTAGTAGCTGATAATATAATACTCTTGTTAGTAGTAGCAATGTTCACTAATCCATTGATTATATAGTATCCAGTGATAGGTACATTATCCAGTGTATAAGGAGCTGTCCATGTTAATAATACACTGGATCCATTAATAAAGGTATAATCCAGATCAGCAACACTAGCCAATAGACCTAAATAAGAGCCCGGAATAATGACACAATTATACAGAGATATATATACTAACCTTGTATCATTAATATTACTGTATCACTGGCCTCTGTCTGAAGAGGACTGAGAGTAATAGCTGTACAATTAATTTCAGTATTATTATTATGATCATAAGCTATTGCTTGTAGCTCTGCTCTTATAGTACTACCGGCAGTACCACTTATTGATGGACTAAATCCTTTAGCCATAACATCTGTATGGCTACCTGGTATATTATTAACTCTGAAACTAAGTTCATCAGCAGTAGCTTCACAAGAGAATACAACAGTAGAGTTGAGTGTTGTATTAATAGACAGTGGCTGTACTGTTAGATCTATACCAATTAAAAATCATAATAATGAGTTAAACTATTTCTGATAACTTACTAGATTGACTCAACTGAAATGTAAGGATAAAGGATAAAAGGATCATCAAAAGCCAGGACATATCTCTTCAATAGATAATAGAGTAAGAATAAAATGTAACAAACCCTAAAGTCAGCATTCAGCAATTTTTATTGCTTAGCAACAATTAATGCAATCAAAATAATGGCATATTGCTACGCCCACGCAAAAGCTATGTCTCTTATGCCAAAGACGAAGTAGCTAAGCCCTTCTGTTCAATTTTTTACATGTTGAATGTAATTTTCCTTCCTTTGCTGCTAAGAGCATGGCTGCAGTGCATTGATTGTCCTAGTAAGTAGTAATTATAGTCATTCATTTTACTATGATTTTTGTACATTACATTTACATTTTTAAAAATTAATAATTATTATTTAAAAAAATTAATGTACATTGATAGTGTTGTATTGCTGGTACTACTGTACCTATTGCAGTTAGTTACTGAAACAGTGACATTACTTTATACTGACAGCTATAATACTGACACTAATACTGACATTGCTGTGTGCTAGGAGCAGATCCAATAAACCAGTTGAACAGGTTCAAACAAGATGAAGGAGGAGCAACAGCTTCAGTTGCTGCATACAGCTGCATAGATATTAGAGTCTAATATCTATGGTTGCTGTGTATGATGAGATCACTACTACTAAAGGAGGAGCCACCAGTTCTGTTCCACTAACAGGTAATCCAGCTTATGGACCATTGAGAAATTAATGCACTCATTCTCAAGTTGTTTTCTATAATTATAATGTGGTTTGATTATAGTCACTTTAAATTCAATTATTTAATTCAAAATCTTTTATAATTATTGTTCAAAATGTTGCATTGTTTTTTAGTTATGACCTTTTGATGATGTAAAAACTTTTTTAAAAATATTTTTCTCAATGTGTACTTGTAATGAGTAGTTCCTCGTCTTCATGTTGTGTATCAGTGTTACTCTATAAATGAAAGAGAAGTCAGATAAACACAAAACAGTTAGCAAAGTACACTTATAAAGGCCTTTTCACACTGGCACAAGTAATGCGCATCAATGCGCATTAATCGTGTTCACACTAGAGTGGTTTTGAATTAATGTGCATCAATGTGCATCACTCTCACTTCACCTCCAGAGGTGGATTGATGTGAAGTGATGCGCTTCGATCAATGTAAACCAATGGCAACAAGAACACAAAATGATACATAATTCAGCTGCTAGTGTGAACACGATCAATGTGCATTATTTCAGCTGTATCAACAAAGCGCATCAAAGTGTATCAAAGCGCCTTGAAAACTGTGCCAGTGTGAAAAGGCCTTTAATCATACACTCATGTGTATATCATACAATAAATTTTATTGAGCCACACAAAATTAATGTGTGCACATTAATACCATCAATGACAAAGAGATACCATATAGGGGTATACATGTATTTCATGGGGATTTAATTTCGCTAATTTCATGGCTTCAAAAGTTCGTAAAAATTTTTATCTATGAAAATTATTTTTTATCATACTAATAATGTACAGTGGGTTGAAAAGTGATTTTCATGAAATATTTTTCCCGGGAAATATACCCCCTACACGGTATCATAGTACATGTATATATACATGTACATGTACATGTACATGTAGGGGCACACAACATAGGCACACCATAACATACAAATGCAGATCATGGGCAATTGGGCATGCATACATGTATACCTCAGAGTGACTTTTAATTGCGGGTACTAAATTTTGCGATTTTACCACGAGGTAGATTTTGCTGGTATTAAAAATTGCGATTAAGTAATTATTACTAATAGTTATATGGCATCATGATGTCATTATTAACAATTGCACGTATTAATAATTGCAATTTTTAACCCAAACGCAAAATTCGCAATTAATAGTACCCGCATTTAAAAGTAACCTTAAGGTAATATACTACACATCATACTACAGTTCATGCTCATTATGATGCTCATTTTATTAGAAGACACATAAAAGGCATAAACAATAAGACAGTGTGTTTACTAGTTCAATGTAGTTCAGTAATTAATTAATAATAGTTTCCGTGGTTACCTCCCCTTCCTCAGCGTGTATCATAAAGTCTCACACGAGAATACGTGACTTGGTTGATGTCCTTGGGTCTCTGGTTAGGTCTACCAGATGACAAAAAACTATGATCAAGATCAGCATACTGGGCACCCTCTTGAGGTGGTGCATTACGAGATGCTTTAGATTTTCGGATGGTAGAAAATTGTGATTTTGCTGGTTTAGGAGGAGCTTGTCTCTTAGAGGAAGATGATTTAGTAGAATAGTCTACATCAGCATATTTAAAACCCTTGGGAAGAGAAAGAGAGAGAGAGAGAGAGGAGAAAAATCAATAAATAATTTAACAAGACAATTATTAGTGTGTACTTATAGCAATTTTCATGATACTGACATTTGGCTGGTATTTAATTTAGCATTTTAATCATTTAATATAAATAACTAGTTTTAATAATTTAATCAGAAATCAAAGTTAGCACAGACTTACTGTAAGTTAGTAACTTTTAAAAAATCGCTAAAATTCACTAAATTAAATAACCTCAAACAGTTGTCTTCTTAAGGTAAAAGCAAGTATTAATTCACACAAACACAACAACCATTTGCCAAACCAGTTATACAGTCATTATAATAGTAACGTACCAGAGGGTGCCTTTTTTTCGAGGGCTGTAAATTTTGCAGATTTCACAATTTTTTAAAAATTTGCAAAAATTGTTTCCGCAAAAATTAAATTTATATTGTACAAGATGGCAGACAACATAAATTTACAAAAATTAAATCCACAAAATAAAAATCTGCGAAACCCATAGCCCTAAAAAAAGCCATATCATATTGTTTAAAATAATGACAAGCAACATCATCACAATCAACATCACATTCACACATTCATTACAGCCACATTATTATTATTATTACAGATAATAATGATACCTGATAAAGTATTACTAACTACAAATTTCCCATTAAGTTAGGCCCCTTTTACACTAATCCATTCTCACATGTAAACGGAAACTTTTTGATTCTGATACAGCTTCTGTTTACACTAATACATGAAAACGCAAAATGAAAATGAAAAACGAAAACAAAATGAAAGCAAAAATGAAAACGGATACACCGAAATGGATACTTCTATAAACGAATGATAAATCTTATAAAAATGCAGCTGCTGGACACCTGAAACGAATAGTAGCAAAAACAACCCTGATTCAGTGAAGTGGATTAGTGTAAACGGGCCCACCACGGAAGCTCTGCCCCCTAGATAATGATCTGGGCCTTAAAGACAACACAATAAACATAAAATAAAAGGTTAAGACAACACCTAACAAAAAACAATTTTTAAAATGTAGGTACATGTACATGTAAATGCAATGCAGGTGCAACGACTAATATTTTATTTTTAAGTTCATTCTCTTGAGAAAAATAACAATAGAAATACAATAATCAAAATCATAAAGGTAACTGGAAGTAATAATACACACACACACATTATGTACATACATGTAATATATGTACATGTACATGTACACTTCTTGACAATTAAACAAGATTTGGCCCAATGATTACAAAGAAATCGATACGCCATTACATGCATACATGTACATGTACATGAATGGGCATATACATGTACATGTACAATGAATGTACATGTACATGTACACTATATAATGAAGATAATGACACACATGTACACCGTGAACATACATGTAATAACATACATATGTACACAACACATCATTGACATTACATGTACATGTACATGTTCATGTACATGTACATGTACATGTTCAAGTACATGTTCATGTATATGTCACCACACTAAGGTGATCAATAGAAACACATGTTGATTTACATTTTCTGTGTGTGACAAATTGACAATACCATATATCATGAAATTTATGCGACAAAAATTTTTTGCAAATTTCACGATTTTTGCTCTGTCGCAAAAATTGAAATTGCAAAAATTTTGCAGCTCCATTGCCACGTGGTGCAGTTTGCAAAAATTTTATTTCAAGAAATCTTAGAAAGGCAGGATTCGCGAAAATTTTTTGTTGCATAAATTTCATGGTTTTTTGGTAATAATAAGGTAAGGCTTTTATGAATAATAAAAACAGTGTTTAGTTAGGCAGCTGTCTGTGTCTGTGTGTTTAAATTTACTTCAATTGTTTCTTGAGCAACAGAAGAATCTGGTTTGTCTTTTTTTTTCTTCTTAACACAACATACAATAGCAATCACTAATATTATAACCAAAACTGCCAGTGCCAGTCCAACGATGGCAATTACCATACCAGCAATAGCACCAGGACTAACTATAAATAATTAATAATATTATTAATATTGCGTATGGTTACATACATACATGGTAATGTTGTTTTAGTAGGACTGTTTGATGGAAACATACTGCTTGATGGAAACATACTGCTTGATGGAGACATACTAGGAATTGCACTAATGCCTGAAGTAAAAGAAAAAGGGAAATAATTACTAGGAGTTGCACTAATGTCTGAAGTAAAAGAAGAAGTAAAATCAATTGTACTAGTTGAGGATATTTCAGGTACTGATGTAGCAAGTATAGCTAAAGTACATAAAATATATATTTTATACAATATACATGTATAATAACCAACTTATTGTAGCTGATGTGATAGGACCAGTTCCTAATATATTAGTAGCAGCTACTCCAACAGTATATTCTGATCCCACTATAAAACCAGATAGAGTTCTTGAAAGAGTAATTCGAGCTTCACCACGATATTCTACAGCAACAGTTTCAGATACATCAGAAACATTATAATAAATGTAATATCCATTTGTAAGAGGACGAGGTGATAAAAGTGGCTGTGGCAGTAATAATAATAATAAATTAATATAACAATAAAAATCAATTACTGGTTTCCATGATACAGTGATGTTAACAGTTTCGTTAATATCAGTAGGATAATCAGTTTGTGTTAATGTCAGATTAGCAACAGATAAAGGAACTAAGAATAATAAAATATATTATTCATTATCTGCTAGAATATCTATTACTTACCATTAAGTATTAATGTAAGATTTACATTATATGGATCAGGACCATATCTACCACCAGTATCAACAGCAATTACAGTAAAAGTATACAGTGAGTCATTAAGTGAAGGTATTGGTAAACTCAGACCCACATCAGTAGATGTAAAATTAACACTATCAGTTGCACTAGTCCTCATAACAATGTAATGAGAGACACAAGGATTGAGACTTCGTAAATGCCAATCCACATTAACATAATCAGAGGGAGCTGGTCCATAGGCAAAACTACCAATATAAGGCATTGGAATATCTAAATACAGTAATTTTTATCATGATAGTATGACATAAATCTACACATACCTGCTATTACAATAGAACAGTTCATTAAAGTCCCAATAGCATTTGCACACTGAACAATATAATTATTGATATTTAACATAGGAGTGAATGTTATATTAGAAACAAGAGACGAGCCATCAACAGTCAAGACAGTATTGAACTGACGACCTGCAATAGGAACAGTATCACCAACATCATTTCCAAATTCAGTATAAGATACTCCACCAACAATAATGTCATTAGTATTTAGCACTCTCCATATAAGAGTGCTTGCTCCACTGTTACACTCATAGGTAACTGGTTGAGAGAGACACACTAAACTGGGGCATGTAGTGAACCGAGGAGTACCTATAAATCTATAAAGTTATGATTTTCACAAGCAAGAACTTGCCAGACACTAGCAAAGTTAAATAAGAGACAAACAAATAAGAGGTGAGCTTTGTCTTCATTATAGGTCTCTTGATGCGTATCCTAGTCTACTATCTATGGTAAGACAGGCGTGCGCGCACGCTTAGCTCTTAATATAATGGTCCATATGGGGGCGTGATGTTTTCGTTACCATGGTAACGGAATCCAAAACAACAATGGCTACCAGTGTCAAACCTACCAAATGTGCTCTGCGGTACAGTCCCCCAACACTGGTTCTCTTTTATACGGACCGGTCGACTGGTAAGGGATTGTTTCTCATTCTTTTACTTTCCTGATTCGTTTAGGGAAGAACAGACGCCGATCAATGCCACTGAGAGGTCTTAAAAGAAATTCAAAGTATGATTAATGCCAGTATTATTTAATGCCATTCCATACACACTATAGTGTGTCAGAGTATGTCACTGAACTAACTAATAATCCAAAACACAAGAAATACCTAGCTGGTATTAAGAGACAACAGGTATTATATGGCCACGCCTCTTCCCCCTCTCCTCTCAGCTCCTACACATAATTTTATGCATACATGTATGTATAATCTAAATTATTTTCTCCTTCAGCTTTTATCACTCATTGAAAAAGTCTGCAAAGCTCAACCTATAAAGAATATCCCTAATGGCAACAAGACACTGGATGAATCCTTAACCAGTCAACTGCAGGACTTGCCTAAGTTATCTCTGTTGACATCTCAGTCGCTAAAGAAGCCTCCTCCATCTTCATTAAATAAGTCGCTTGATGATGAACTTGATAGAATTCTTAATGGCGATCTCATAGAATCAGATGATGATGATGATGATTTAGAAGAAGATAAACTAATTTCAAAGCCAGTCACTACTACAGCACCACCAGTCACTGCTACTAAACCAGCAGTCACTGTATCTAAGGAAACTGCATCAAATGTTGTGTCTACTGCAGCATCTACCCTAGCTACTGCTACTAAGCCAGTTACTACTCATAAGGATACCAGTATTGCATCAATTGTTATGTCTACCAAATCTGTTACTACCTCCAGCGCTGCTCCTAAATCTTCGGGTACTACTAGTGCTGCTTCTAAATCTTTAACTACTACTACTAGTGTTGCTTCTAAATCTTTAACTACTACTAGTGCTGCTTCTAAATCTTTTACTACTACTACTACTGTTGCTGCTTCTACTGTGAGTGACATTAAACCTTCAGCAAAAACAGCTTTAACCAGTGACCCATTGACTCTATCTCCTGTTAAGTCGTCAGTCGGGCAGTCCTTGCCTCCATTGGGATCCCTGCCTCCATTAGTTCCTCCTGGTAATGCAAAGCAAGCTAGTGCTGTGTTTCCTAGTGCTTTGGACTCCAATCAAAGCCTTCCAACACCAAAGCAGCCAGCCAGTGGAGGGGCACAGCCTCCCACTGATGAATACAGTTTAAAGGAAGAACCATTGAGTGAGCTGGATGAGGATCTGTCCCTCAGCAGTGATGATGATGATAATGATCCACTCATGAATTCTGATCAGCTCAAAGCTGCTCTAGACAACATGAAAGTGGTCAGCTCAGACGACGAAGATTATAACAAGCTCCCTGATGAGAAATACAAGAAGATGAAGGAAGAAATGGACAAGGAGTTTGAGCAGTTGCGCAGCAAACCGACCGACCCTGACTTTGTTTATGACAAGGAGGAAGACTATGGTAAACCGGTAATGGAGAGTGGATGGGATACCCAGAGCTCATCATCATCATCAGTTTTTTAATAAAACAATAATTATACTTTACAATCTTATATTATTATAACATTATGTTAATAATTATAATATATGTTTTTTTAAGTAGAGAAAGGACATGATATTTCTTTATTACAGTTGCCATATATTAGACGATGAGGGTACCACTCACAGTAGACGAGGACTTGAGTTTAATCTTCAAATGCTTTGGTAGCAACAAGTGAACGGTAACTCTTTGGTTTGCCTAGACAGCAATTACAATGTTATGCATGCAAAAATTACACCTCGTTATGACTATACTTTTAACTGAAGAATGCCCGAGGCTACTACTGTCATATCTCCAGTAAGTATCTGCGACGTATAGTACAACCATCTGGAGATGATTAGCCATAAAGTTATGACAATCACTAGCAATAACTTACACATTATCTGATGTAGCACTTTCGCAATGTCCACTACAGAAAGCCACCGTAATTCTATCTGAGCAGTTAAAATGATCTGATGTAACACGCAACTGGACAGATGCTTGTAGGTAATACAATCCGTCAACTGGTGGAGTAATGAAACCACTTGCCAGATCAACTAATGAGCCTATCTCATAGCCACTAGGATTTCCCTAACAATAATCGCATTATGAATTCACTTAGTGATGAACTTGTTGGTTTACTGTGGTTAGAAGAGTTAGTCTCAGGGACTGTATGTTATTCACTTCTATGTCTTGGAGGAGATGTGCCCGGAAGGAATGACCAGTAATATTTACTGCTGAATCAGGCTAGGGAGAGAGTTGGGGAGAGTAAGAGGAGAAGAAGTGTGTGTATGTGTGTGTGAGAGAGAGAGAGCGTACTTCATCAGTTGGTATTGGTTCTGTTGTAGGTGGATTGGTTGTAAATATTAAAAACCTTTTCTGAACATTTTGACCTTGCTTGGACTAGAAGAGAGAGTGTTGTGTCAAATTAACATGTGGTTTAGAGACACAATATAGTCCCTTTCTAAATGCAGTGTTCACAATTATACCCAATGCTTCTCCATTGGTATTGGCTCATACATAAAGTCTGTACAACATATTCAAAGACCTTACCTCTCCAGAAAGTGGTAGACTCCAAGTGCTTCCAGCAAACAGGATCAGCATAGACAAGAAGACGTTCGTAAACATTATTTCTTTGAAGTTGCTTCGGTTGGGCCAACTCCTCAGCTCATTGCCTTATATACAAATTGTGTAGGAACTCCTACAACTAGTATACTCTGCATTATACTGGAGCCTGACGTTAGCCCAATGCACACACACAATAATAAAAATTAGAAAAGCTATACATAGTTCATTTATGCATTCCATGAACCTGACATCATAGTGTGTATGACCTGTAATAAAAATAGTTATATTATTCCATGCATAAAGAACACTGACAACATACCATATGGACATAATATGCATCACAGTGCATTGTAGTGGGAAAATATTGCAAGCATGCACATGTGGACTGACATACCAACACATGACAGCAGTTACATACCATCAGCTGTACCATCCTTCCTTCCTTGTACATGACACGGAAAATAAATGCACCAACGCCCAAGACCTTCTTAAACTTACCTGACTTGAAACAAAAGGATAATTTATTATTGCAATAATAATATTTTGATGCAACAGATTTTCTGTTTTAATACTAAGATTAGTAACGCGGTAGCGGTACTAAGAGGATTCACCCCCAAAACAATATGACTGCCACGACTTTTGCAGCCTTGCTATACCAGGAAAACGAGCTCCTATGCTTACCAGACTTCTTAGAGGACCATATCTAGGCTTTTGATCTTTGCTATTATTTTAGAGCAAAAATACACATGTATAATACAATAGTGTTTCTAAGCAAGATTACATTACAGTTGATTGTTTGTTACAAAGCATTCTGGGTGGTGGCTGGGTAAAAAATCAAAATAATTTATAACAAAACAAATGCAGTGTGTGTGTGTGTGTGTGTGTGTGTGTGCAAATATCAAGTTGAGCACTAATTGGATTAGTCAGAAAATGTTTTTGGTAGCTAAAGGTTAAAGGTTATACAGAGTTATCTAATAATTTGTAACAGCAGAATAATATTATAATTAATAGTCACAACAAACACCAGGAGAGGACGGCATAACAAAAATGAAGAGAAGAGAGAGAGAGGAAAAACACCATTTTGCATAATAATAATAATAATAATAATAATAATAATAATAATAATAGATCTAGTCTGAAAATACGCATTAACTAAATAAAGAAGAGTCTGTCATAAAATAATAATAATAATAATAATAATAATAATAATAATAATAATAATAATGTGGCAGAGCTACTAATGTTAAAAAGGATCATCAACCAGTCCCAGTCTCCTACTAGTAGTTAGACTGGGTCCTTGTCTCATAAAGACCACTCTTGCTCAGGTAGCGGACCCACTTCACAACATCGTGATCGCTGTAATTCAATTTCGGCTCAAACACTTTGAGATAACGGACCTTTAGGCCTGAGCAAGCAAAGGGAACCTAAAAGGAATGACAATGACATTATTAAAGATTATCCTATGCTACGTGTATAATAAATTATCACTGCAATGGCACAAGAGCAATAATCATTTCATTCATTTGTTTGATACAAGTAAATCAACAAAAATTTGTAGCAATTATAAAACAATTACACGTACAAGTACATTAGTAGAACCAAATTAGCCATGACAAAAAATTTTCCGCATGTACATGTATGTATATGCATTATTATCGGTAATATTGATTATTAATGTTGTTCGTATAATTACGAACAATGATAAAGAAGAACAAACAACGTAATCAAACCAAAAGGAAGAAATCCAAAGTGAGAAAAGTAAGGATCAACCCATCCACTGATGGAATGGAGAATTCATCAATACAGTACAATACATTATACAGTATAGCCTGCTATTGTGGACACTCTAAAATAAGGAGGCCTCTATAATGAGGACAGGTAGTATCAGTCCCAATACAATAGTAATGTGTATTAATGAACCTCTGAAATAAGGACAGGTTCATAATCAGGAGGGTATTATTGGGTACCAAGGTGTCCGGAATAGACAGGCCTGACTGTATTTGCTATCATTTAAAACTATACCACAATGCTTATTCCATCCATTGCAATGTAAAACAAATGTTACTAGCAGCTAAACATACTGCCTCTATGCTTCATAGCATTCAACCAATGCAGCTATTACATAATGTATATATTACATGCTTGCACCTCTCTACTTGTATTTCAATCAGTAATGTATTGCCTCACCCTAGGGCCAAGGATACTGTAGTTTTGACTGCTAAGAATGTCTACACTGAAATCTTATCCCAAACACGTGCACAAGTTTCCGTGTGACCATTTTCAATGCATGCAAAACAAAACACAAATGTAAATGTACACTTCACACACAAGAGATACACAGGGCTGCTCAGCCATGAAGGGATACTAGCATACCAATAGCCTCTGCCCACACTATCAGTGACATAACAGCTATGGATATTATTTCAATAATATTCATACTTCAATGACGTGTCTCCTCAAGTGTGACCATAACAGTAAAATTATAATTATAAAATCGTAAAATTTCATTTTTGCGGTGAGCCTTGCTTCAAAATGTTATCATAACAAGCAAAGGGAAGAAATATGCATTGAAGTAGATGTATATGGAGTATAAAAGTGTTTGTCAGATAGAGGCAAAATGATAATAAACAGATATGGGACAGTAATGTGGGCGGGTATACTACACAACAATGTAGTACATGTACATGAGACAGGTGCACTGATGCAGTTCAAAGTCCCTCAGGTCATAACAGAGTCATTGAGCTATACATGCAGCTACTTAGCGTCACTTCTATTAACACTTTAAAATGACTGAATTTTTTTTAAGTACAGTCAGGCCTGTCTATTCCAGACACCTTGGGGGGCAATAATACCCTCCTGATTATGAACCTATCCTTATTTCAGAGGTTCATTAATACACATTACTATTGTATTGGGACTGATACTACCTGTCCTCATTATAGAGGCCTCCTTATTAGAGTGTCCACAATAGCAGGCTATACAGTACATATATATAATAAAATGATAGAAATTATTGACCATCCACTCTAATCTCCTCACTCAACCCCACCAAGAGTGAGCCACTGTTTAGCAAAGCATGTAAAATTTGATCAACATGTCATTTATACATGTACATGTACATGTACATGTAAGGTTAGAAATACTTAGAAATGAGCCTCATTTGGTGACACACATTGTCACTATATACCCTTGACAAGCTAGTAAGCTACATGTAAAGTAGATGTACACTGTACATGTAAACTAAAGCTTTAATAAGCATTGAACAACATACAGTAATGTACATCCACAAACATACATGTACATGTACACGTACATGCAATTATACAATGTAAAAAAATTATCATTGATAATAATACATACAGTATACAGTACTTTTGTACATGTAAGGCCACTCCAATTAGATTCCTAATTTTTCCTTTCCCGCCCGCACACGCCCACATGGGCAGTTAATTATTTGATTATTCATACGCTATACACATCAATTTATATTGCAATAATCAAAAAATGTGATGAATATTAATGAAGCTGCCCACCCGCATCAGCCCCGCCCGTGAAAGGAGGAACTAAATCTAATTAAAGTAGCCTAAGTGTCTGAGTTAAAAATTGACAAGTAAATATAATAACATGTATATGTACATGTAGCATAGTCCTGCCTATGGTGGTTGAGGGTGGTCGGGACAACCACCTCAACAAATGAACCAACCAGTTCATCACTTAGACCAACCATCCAATTAATACTAATAGCCATACATAAAGCATGATACTGTAGTCTACTAGTATGGTGTACATGAACTTAAAAGGAACAATATTAGTCTCCAACCACCTCTAATTTTATTCTAGGCGGAACCCTGCATGTACATGTGTATGTACATGTATTATCATACTTGATGTATGATCTAGTTGGAGTAGCCTACATTGTACATGCAAGTATCTCATTAAAAAATTGACAAGTAAATATAATACGTACATCTTACATCTACAATTCTACATGTACATGTACATGTACATGTAAGACAGTTATATTTACTTATAGTTGGATGTGATATGTACAGTACATGTACATGTACATGTGATATGTACATGTATAATGTATCTGACTCACTTCAAAGTTCATTGAGATTGGTGGGCGTGTCTGCTGTTTGCTTTTTGAGCTTTCGGTGGTTGATGATGGCAAGAGCTCAACATCAGCAGTGAGCTGTGTCTCCTTCATGCCAGGGAATCTTCTAATCCTAAACAACAATTAAAAAACAATTAGAGCAAATATTTGAGACATGGCACGAATGGAATCAATAGAAGCTAGACAAGGGAAAGGGTCAGGAAAGGCCTTCTACACAACACAACCACAAGACATGACATTATTGACACACAGTATCTCCTTCTGTGCATTCATTATTGTTATATACTGTAGTTTACACAAGTACATGTGCATTGACCACATTTTCATGCAACCCACGATAGCCTTTTCAAAAAGCAGTGCATAAAAGTACTTGGTTTTCCAAGCTTCTTGAACTCTCCTCCATCATACTATTGAGAACTAGTAGACAATTTTTGGAAGGGTCCATAATGGACCCTAACTTTAACTTTGGTATTTATCATGATAAAAGAGCACATTAACATACGTACATGTGATATTACAGTAAGGAGTGGATAATGTATATGTAGAGATTTATGATGAGTGATAAAGTATAGCCTGCTATTGTGGACACTCTAAAACAAGGAGGCCTCTATAATGAGGACAGGTAGTATCAGTCCCAATACAATAGTAATGTGTATTAATGAACCTCTGAAATAAGGACAGGTTCATAATCAGGAGGGTATTATTGGGTACCAAGGTGTCCGGAATAGACAGGTCTGACTGTATGTATACTCAATTTTGAAGTAATACTAAAGTCATGAATATATACATGTAGTTGAAGCAATACGCACATGTAGGTACATGCATACATGTACATGTACATGTTGTTATACATAAAAATTAGTGAATGGCCGTATATGAGAGCTAGGCTGGCTAATCTATGCATCATATGTACGCGTACTAGTAACTGTGTCATATTATGTTATAGTTTCCCCTCATTCCATCATCATGGGATACAATGTATAGTCTAAACAGTCGAAGTCACAAAGACAGACCAACAGCAGACCAGCCAGAACAATGCACATGTAGGGAGCTGCTGGTACAATCAATGGCTGACGTCATGAAGCATGACGAACTAGTGTGTTTATACACTGTATGTATCAAATATTGTTATGAAGATTGCGTGTTTGTGTGTGTGATACTGCGAGTGTTTACAGTCAGGCCTGTCTATTCCGGACACCTTGGTACCCAATAATACCTTCCTGATTATGAACCTGTCCTTATTTCAGAGGTTCATTAATACACATTACTATTGTATTGGGACTGATACTACCTGTCCTCATTATAAAAGCCACCTTATTTTAGAGTGTCCACAATAGCAGGCTATACAGTATTCATTTGATGTGTGTGTGTGTGTGGCCAATAAAGAATGAAAAAAGGACACCACCTGTCTTCCAAATCCTCTCCCTCTCCTCCCTCCCTCCCTCCCTATTGTAAAGGTATGTACATATACATGTACATGTACATATACATGTACATGTACATGTACATGTATGTACTAAAGGCGTAATTGTATAGTCTAGACGTGGGGCAGAGCACAGGCCACGACATAACAGCCCAGGTGTTACGCAACAGTCTAATCACTTTGAAGAACACACACACAGAACAAATAATACCAACATAATGCCAAGTTAGTGCATACACAAACCAATTAGAACACCAGGAGCAAAACATCCCAAAAAATACCATTGAATTATATCTAAGCTTTGTAGCATAGTAAACACGAGTTAGATGTGCTGTATATGGCATGTAAATGTATGTAAGGGTACTATTAATAATAAAAATACATATTGTATATATATACATGCATGTGCAGTATACATATACATGTATGTGTGACTGAGTTAAAAATTGACAGATATAGAACATACACTGTACATGTATAGTACACAGTAATTAGGTACAGTATTATGTATAGTACACAGTAATTAGGTACAGTATTATGTATAGTACATAGTATTCTTGTACATGGACACACACCCAGATAGTCTATTGGCAAAAGAATGCAGAGTTCACTATCATGCAGTGTCCAGCAAAGGGAATTAAAGGCTTCACAGATCATTAGGTCTACAATCTGCATATTCAATTTCAGCCAAAGGCAACAAGTAACATGGGTGTGTATATGTACTTGTACATGATACAGTAGTAGGGGAGATTAATAAGTACATGCACTTGCACAAATCAAGGCATGTACATATTATTTTCATCACATAATTTTTATAGTAAAGTAATATTCATCATAATATAATTTTTTCCAATGCAGTAAAGGTAAAACGAACATATAGTAGTTACATGTAGTTGAATAGATGTTCAACACAAAGTTAAATGCTTTAGAAAGTATTGCAGGCGCAGTAGATGTACATATACATGTACATACCAATGAAAACTACATGTAATTGGATGGTTAGTTGCTTACATCATGTACTAATTGACTTATGAAAGAAGAAGGAAAGGATAATTACCATACTTCTACAATTATAACTGATAAACTCTGTATGGTATAGTAGCTTCTAGAAGATAATTGGGCTATTATTAGGCATGGAATATAAGAATGAAGACAATGACAGGTATCCTGAATGAGTGTGGCATTTTACACGACGCAAAAATAATGAATATGTACATGTACATGTACATAGCATACATGTAAGTGTGTCAAAATTATTATCACAAAATGGGTATTACATGTACATGTACTGTATGCTAATATGCACAATGCAATAGCAGTGGGTTCCTTTTCAATCTGCTATTCTTATTTCTAACCTACATGTACCCTAGCCTATTTTTCTTCCTATTAATAAATTTTTAGTGATTTGTACTATGTTAATAGGAATGTTTCGCTTTAAGCTTCGTGTGTGTGCATGTGTACAATTCATGTTCTTTTACATGTACATGTACATGTAAAAGACGTACTTCCAAACTATGGCATTCTCTCCTGACTTGTAGCGTGGTCTGCCTTTCAGAGAAATGAGCTTGACACCAGCTGTATTTGGAGGGGTGGGTATCTTAACCTACATGTATAAACAGAGATAAAATAAAACATTCATTTGAGGAAAAAAATTTTTTAAATTGATTTTAGAATTATGGTATTGGGTAGTGCTTGAAAGTTTCATACAATTAAACTTTTGTTGGGCCTGCCCCAAAATCATTTTCCCAAATCTCGATTTTGCAAATCTAAGCAAAATAAAAGATGCACATGTAAGTCACCAAAAGCTTCCGGCTATGTAGTATTCAATACATGCACAGTCAGGCCTGTCTATTCCAGACACCTTGGTACCCAATAATACCCTCCTGATTATGAACCTGTCCTTATTTCAGAGGTTCATTAATACACATTACTATTGTATTGGGACTGATACTACCTGTCCTCATTATAGAGGCCTCCTTATTTTAGAGTGTCCACAATAGCAGGCTATACTGTATAATGTACATGAATACAAACATGTACATGTACATGTACAAGTACAGAATGGTTCCTATGCAACAGCAACTGATAGGAGGAATATTTGATTTGGGATCAGTTGTCAATTGCATTAGGACAAGTGGGGCAGGTAAGGCTAAGATGTAATTTCATTATTTGGGTATAACATTACAGGACAAAGAGAAATCTTGTAACTTGCTCCATAGTTACAAGTATAAACAAAACCAAAACAAATTATAAGAATACATGTACATGTAGCAATTTTTTGCTACATGCACTTCTAAAGATGGTAACTAGTCGGATGCCATGCATTAACGGGGTGAGCTTGAGTCTATTCGTGGTATTGCACTGACTCTGCTGATAGCTAGGCTGCTTTTCTAGTTAAATCTTGAGTCTAGGACGTCATCCTAGCCCTCTGAGCTATGTAGAAGAGTGTCTTTTTCACTCCAGCGAGGTCGTTGAGGTTGATCTCAAGCTTTCTTCTCTCTTCATACATGCACATGTGTTAATATTTCATTAGAATGAGCTACCGCATTAGATCATTGACTGATAAATAGATAGTAGTGCATACATGGGGCATGACCAGAAGATGGGCGTGACCAGAAGATGGGCGTGACTGCAGATGCACATACATACATACATACCGTATAAGTGGTTTTTTCGAGGCTTGCAAATTTCGTGAAAATAAATCCGCAAAAATCAATTTAATACAGTGCCTGCATATGGCACACGTGGTAGAATTTGCGAAGTTAAAATCCACGAATTATAGTTTTAGCAGATTTCGCAAAATATAATTCCCTTGAAAAAAACCACTTATACAGTACATACACGTACATACAGAAGATTTCTGCTACAGTGGGGCTCATCCCAATAACAATACATGTGTTACATTAATAATAATAATATGACATACATGTACATGTACATGCAAGCACATATAACATACATGTACATGTAAATGTACGATATCTACATATGTACATTCAAGCTCAAAAAAATTAAAATGGCGGATTCATTTAACAATTGTACATTTTTATTACAAATATGTACATGTACATGTGCATATACATTATACAAATTGTCTTAATTCCGAGTGTACCTCAACATGTTGGGCGTTCAGTGTGGGTTTGAACAGACTCTTAAGGACCACCTTTATCTCCATGTGTTGCCTAGAGGCTTCCCTCACCAGAGGGATCACTCTGAATGGTAACGTGATATCGTTGGTAGTCCGATATCTAAAAACAAAAGATAAATCAATTATGCCTCCCACTCCTCAATCCCACTAATAATTGGCTGTATATGTACATGTACATGTACATGTACATGTACATATATGTACATGTACATATATGTACATGTAGATGTATATCCCCTCGTTTTCTCCCTCATTCCCCCTCTCTCCCCCTACTCATTCCTTGTCTCCTCCTACCCTCTCCCACCAGCAAAATAACACCTTCGCTTCATACACATGTACATTACATGTATATACATGTATACACTGTACATGTACATGTATGTACATCTTGCCACATCTTTTGCTTAATACAGTATAGCCTGCTATTGTGGACACTCTAAAATAAGGAGGCCTCTATAATGAGGACAGGTAGTATCAGTCCCAATACAATAGTAATGTGTATTAATGAACCTCTGAAATAAGGACAGGTTCATAATCAGGAGGGTATTATTGGGTACCAAGGTGTCCGGAATAAACAGGCCTAACTGTACATGTACATGTACATGTACGTTTGCATATGCATTTCTTATTTTCAAAGAATATTTGAGACTTTAATTAATTGAGTTACCTCATTAGTTCAAATTCCCCATCTGGTGGTATGAAACTGATGCTCCTTTCACTTTCAAATTTACTCAGTTTGACACACTGGTGGAATGTACAGTCATCAATGGCAACACCTGACTTTGGATTGTGTCCAGACCTGCAATCAATAACAAATAAAAGGAGAATTTAATTTTTAAAATGAAGTAAAAAATATATGTAAAACTATAGTGGATTAATTGTATTAGTTTCATGTACATTTAAACATTAAGCATGTTTGTAGGCAATGCATGTGCAATGTACAAAATGAATGAGATACTATTATTATATTATAAATGTACATGTACATGTAAATGCATAAAAACTAATAAATAAAGATTATAATAATACATATACAGTATACTGTGTGTGTGAGTCTGAGTTAAAAATTGACAAATAATTATTATTATAATACAATGTACATGTATTATTATAACTGTACATGTACATGTACATGTACAATGTATGGAATTGTAAGAGGGAGCTCAAAATGTAGGAGGAGAAAAATTCCCCTCAATTAAAATCCATCATTATCGATACAGTAAATACAAACATGTTGCACATGTACATGTACGTTTTGTACATGCACATGTACATCACTTATGATCTAAAAGCATACACTATTGAAAGAAAATTAAATAATAATTATTAATATATATACAGAATCCCAAAAAACATGAAATTTCCCAATCATAATTACGTGTACACACACAACAGGTGTCGAACATAAAATTGCTAGAATTTTAATTTGATTTACATAACGACAGACGCACGCTAATGACCAATAGCTCTGAGCTGGAGGAGTTTTTGGAACCATAACCATGACAAATACACGTTTAATTCATGTGTATCAAACAATAATAAGAATAATAATAATAAATACATATCAGATACGTGTACGTGTACATGTAGATAATACATGTACATGTACAATACATGAGATATTTTGACTACGTGTACTTGTACTTATTGAATGAAATATTCTCGAAGGTGCTTCGGTTATAATTTGATAATGTTCGTCGTGAGTTAAAAGAGAATGTAAAGTGTAACAAGATTCCTGGACAAACCAATTACCACACCTTAGTGACCTCTTTCATCTGACGGCGCCACTTAGGCTGCGTATAGCCAATCGAGAAAGAAGCTTGTCATTTTTGAGCTGCTAAGGATTCTACAAGTTGCCATAAACAGCCTACGTATTTACATTTAGTTCCAAATTTTGTTTCAATTTATATATCATCTTTTCTTTTCATTCCTTTCTTAGATTGAGAGTGACAGAATTTATAATAATCAACAAGCAAACGTATTAGTATCAAAAAATATTCTGATATTTGTTTTCGCCAATCTTAACTTCTATACACTTAGGAGTATCATAATGAGTCAATGTAGACTGTACATGGATGTACTGTATAAGGAAAGTTCTGAAGGAATTTCTACATGTCTACATGTACATGTACTGTACATTGTACATGTAACTTTTAGACACGAAGCACCAAAACCAGATTAGGCTCATTAATTGTTGCATGGATGAGTTAGGAAATGTTTGAAACTTGTAAGTCAATTAGTAGACAAAAAGCTAATGGTTGTGTTAGAGATAGTACTACCTATACAGCTACACCTACTACATGTACTAATATTGCAAGTACATGTACATGTACTACATAATAAATGATTAGTACAGACCCAGTCTTACATAACATGCACATACACTGTATGTAAGTCTTACAGGATGTATACAGTCAGGCCTGTCTATTCCGGACACCTTGGTACCCAATAATACCCTAGCTCCTGATTATGAACCTGTCCTTATTTCAGAGGTTCATTAATACACATTACTATTGTATTGGGACTGATACTACCTGTCCTCATTATAGAGGCCTCCTTATTTTAGAGTGTCCACAATAGCAGGCTATACTGTATTAAGTAAACACATACTGTAAATCATATTATTCCTAATAAATAGACAGCATTTCCAATGTTTCACATTATCCCTAATAACAAGACTATGCCTATTAAATACTTATATCCAAACAAACCAAAAAAATATTCCAAGAAGGCACGCAAAAGGCTGTGAGTCTAAGTTGATTAGTCAAAACAAGCTACAAATGATTCTAATTAAATAAAAAGCACACTTACATGTTTCATCACACGAATGACTAGACATCAATTAATGAGCAATGCTAATAACACCTGTCTACTGGGAGGACATACATGTACATGTATAGCGTAATGTAATGTAGTAATTAAGATAAAATGAGAGAGTTACATAATGATTGGTAATCATGGACAAGCGAACATGAGAGGCGTCATTATAGGAAGACGTAATACTGATAATGCAATAAAACTCCTGGAATAATAAGGAATATAAATTGATTAGTAGATGTTAATTATCGCTCCCAAAAGGAAGCTTAATTACTATATGAACATACATGCGTATGCATGTATCTGTGTATGTACATGTACGGCTGTTTATTAGTCTAACAATGAATCATTAATGGAATCATGTCATGCTATAGTAACTTACTAGGAGTAATGTAGAACATTAAAGGGGCAAGCCTAAGCAAGCTATAGATTATGTGCTGTATGAGCTACATGTATGAGCAAGCAAAGCAATTCCACAAGTCTGTAGATTAAATTTTCTCCATCACCGTTTCAGAATCTCTGCAGCAATTAAAGATATCTTGCTTATAGCTAGAAGCAGTGACTAAACAAATGATATTTGAAGAAGATTGTACCATAGGCTATGACTGTACATCTTCTTTGTTAGCCTAGGCTTGCTGCTACAGAAGAAACATCACCTAGAATAGATCTCATGATGCATGCAGCCCGGCCAGCTACAGCTTTGACTTGCATAATTGTATTCAGCTTATCAGAGTCCTTTATATCAAAAAAAGATTCTATATGATTTTCTAACCTTTCTTCTTGCTGGAGAAGTCTTTTGACAGCAGTTTAGTCTTATCTTGCTGACCGTTTGCTGCAAATAAGCTCAGACTTGCTGATAGCCGCCCCATTTATTCATTGTGACCACACCCGCTTTCAATGAAGATTAGGCTATTTAACTTTAATAATAGTTAGACGACCCTATCATCCCTGTACAGACAAACAGACTTTTATCGTCTTAGTGGGGTTCGATGAGGCTCGCCCCAATAAAATAGTTTGATGATTATTATACTGTCAAGACAAAGTGATGATTATTTTGAATGTTGTATGGTGTACGTACCATAACACATGTACATGCACATGTACTTTTTGTCTTTAAAATAATTATTAATGATTATACATGTACATGTACATGCATGATATAATCACTAAAACTGAAGTGCATTTAATGATAGCATATATTACTAGTAAAATAATAAATTAGGAAACATATTGTCAAGGTTTTTTACATGTAAAAAATCAACAGAATAAATAAATAAGTGAAATACAGTACATTGTACATATGTATGTACATGTGTATGTATGTACATGTACATGTATGTTTTTTAGAATGAGCTCAAAGGTACTGTACATGTAAAAAACTAACAACAAAACAAACTAACACAGCATAATACATGCCAGATAAAAACACAAAAAATACATGCATGTAGTAATAAGTACATGGACAACAAATAAAAATACACAATACACATACATACATGTACATGTACATACATAAGAAGAGAGAAAGATAGAAAGAGTTAATGAGACACATGCCCTTCAGCAAGAGCAAGGTCAAGTTGTACAAATGCATAACAATGTATGGTATGTATGGGTGTACCTCTTAGCAAGTTGCTGTTCCAGTGATTGAGCTTCTGGTGTTGATGGCTTGGCCTGTCTATCTATGAGGAGCTTATCATTCATGCCAAACTTGCACTCGGGCATTCCGCTAAGGAAACTCTTCATTACAACACGACCGGACACATGAGCAGAGAGGACCTGACCTGGAATAGTTAGGAGAGAGGGAGGGAGAGAGAGAGAGAGAGAGAGAGAGGGAGAGAGGGAGAGAGAGAGAGAGAGAGAGAGTATAATTTTGACAACAAAGAAATAATTTCGAATTCTTTGTTACATGTACATGTAGTTTGCTGCATGTGCAACTTTTGCTGCAATTACATGTACATGTACATGGATTAAAATCGTCATTAGTAATGCATGTGTATTTCACCATTATTATTATTATTATTATTATTATTATTATTATTATTATTATTAAATAAGTAGCATGTATATGTACATGTAGTTACATGTAGTTAAATTCTCAAGTACATCCATGTACATGCATGTAACAGAAAATTCTCCATTTTAATAATTTTTTCAGATACATGTACAAAGTTTGAGTTGATTCCAATCTAAGCTCATTCAGTCATTCCAATCTAAATTGGATTTTTAAAGAATTTTTAAAGTAGCTTTAAAATCTTGTCAAAGTCCCTGTATTATAGTACAGGAATTTTGGCCAAATTTCGCCAAAATTGAAAAAGAGAGAAATTTCAATTTTTATATTTTTTTCAGATACATATACATGTACTTATGTTGCGTAAAAAGTTTGAGCTCATTCCGATCAAAATTAGATTTTTAAAGAATTTTTAAAGTGGCTTAAAAATCAGGTCAAAGTCCCTGTACTATAGTACAGAGATTTTGGTCAAATTTCGCCATAAATGAAAAGCAGAAAATTCTCCAATTTACATTTTTTTACTGATACATATACATGTACTTGTACTTATGTTGTGTAGAAAGTTTGAATTTGTTCCGATAATAAAAAAATTGCTTCAGAATTTGGCCAAAAATAGCACATACATGTAAATGTAAATATTTTTAGTATCCAAACAAAATGGAATATATTTATTTGCTTCAAAATCTTGCCCAAGGTACATGTACTTTATTCCGATTAATTGATAAAATAGCAGTAGTACTAGATCAATATACTTTTCAACTCAGACTGAATTCTTCTAGTACTACAGAATGCTATTGATCTGCATGTACGAGTATAACAACTACCATCAACAAAGAAAGAGTTTGATCACCATGGCAAGTACACATGTACATTAAAAATGCACATTTGCATGACACAATATGATAGTTATTGCTCTTTAGTAGTATTTTACACAGTGCAGACTATAAGTCCATTAGAATGATGCTTCATGACTATA